AAAAAAAAACTGACTCACAAATCCAAACAAAGCAAAAACCATGGTCATCTTCATACCTAACTACTGGGGGATTTGGTACTTTCCAGGTCTACCTCAAGAAATCTGCCTGAAGAATAAATGCCATCAGTTTTCACCAAAGCTACAGGAGGTATAAGCTATAGACAATCCCATTTTGCAGATGGAAATGGGCCTTAGGGAATTTGAGTTTTACATGGTGCCATGGCTTTTGAATGCGGACATTATAGACGGTTTAAAATTCTGTGTGGTTCACATGAATGTTTCCCTTTATTTCTTTGGAGCAGTCCTAATCATTCCATTTTACTGCTACCATTCTTAGTTTGTACTTTACATTTTTCCTATTCATTTGTTCTTAGTATACAACTAACATAGCTTTGGGGGGCAGAGATAGGCAGCCTCCCCAGAAGACTCTTTGATCTCTGCTTCCAGGAATGTATATATATATCCGATGAGCAGAGAACTGAGGGGTCAGGGAATGTCACTTCTGTACTTAAGCTATGAAATACTTCTATATCTACTCTGAATACTGTGCCCCCTCCTTGTCATCACCTTCCTCTTCATGATTCTTCTTCCCCCACTCCTCTTCTTTTTCCTTCACGCCTCTCTTTCTGACTCTTCTAAGTCCCTTGTAGCAATACTCTGGAGGTTCATGGAGTAGTTCAGATGCTGAAAAACAAGTCTGAGCCTGATCATCAATAGAACTTGTATTTGGCTAACAACCACTAAGGGAGTTTGAAAGCAATTCCCTGGCAGCCAAGCCTCAGGTAACAGGGAATGATTCCTGGCCCCTATGTCAGAAGCAGGATGCCCAGAAAACTTGAGGTTGCTTTGAGATACTGAATTCCAGGATGATTTGTTGCCCAGAAACAGGTGGCTGAAGAGGGAGTGAGAGAAGGGCAACACTTTCTGAAAGCGTAGGGTATGTAACACTGTTTGATAATTGTATTGTTTTTAACCTTTGTAGCAAGTCTATGAAATCTTAGCATCATATTTTACAGATGAGAAGATTTAAGCCAACATAGTACTAGAGAGGGCAAAAGCTATAAGGACCAGATCTTCTTTGTCAGGGTCTTTCTTTCTACTCTAGAAAATTGGGATTTTGTGCGAGCATGTGCATGCAATAAATACGCTTGTGTATGTGTGCATATGTGTATGTGTGTGTGTGTGTGTGTGTGTGTGTGTGTGTGTGTGTGTGTTGCTAGCACAGGATGAGATCCTTAAATATAGCAACTTCCTACTTGCCAGGAGTATTGGTGGAGGATTAGTATGACTAGCAGTCTAAATTTTGATGTTAAAATTGCTTTCTTACTTGTTTCAGTTTTTTTTTTTTAGCAGATTTCCATCACAGTGGCCTAACCTGGCTTTGAGTCTGAGGATACAGAAAACAATCCATGAACTTTTATGGGAATTTCACTCTGGAAGACATCTGAGAGTAACTTTGCCAACATGTTTGTGATGATGTTCAGGTTCTAATTTTCTTGGGAACAAGAGTATTAAGACTTCAGGGCAGGCTTCAAACTAAGAAAAAAAAAACACTTAAAAAGTTTTTTTTTAATTTTATTTGATTGAATACTCATCTAAAACTAAATTGAGATGAAGATTATTGGGGAAGATGGGAAAAGTCAAAGAATTAACAGATATTAATGAGGAAATTTAATCAAAATCTTTCCTAGGGCTAGGAAGATGGCTCAGTGAGTAAAACACTTTCCATGCAAGCATACAGACCAGAGTTCAAACCTCCTAAACCATGTAAATATGGGTAAAGATGTGTGTATACATAATCCCTTTGCTCCTAAAGCAAAAAGGGAGGCAGACAGAATGGCCTAACCTTCAGATCAGCTAGTCTGGTATAAGCAGCAATGAACAACAAAGAAAAAACTCTGTCTCAAGCACAATGGCAGGTGAGAACTCACACCGAGATTGTACTTTGACTTCCACATGCCAGTGGACACACACACACACACACACACACACACACACACACACACACACACCAGATTAAAATCTATTTGGATATTTGATTTTCAAAAGTTATTTCTTTTTCCCAGTACAAATTTTTTGTGCTTGAAAGACTTTGAAAGGCAACAGACATTTTACTCATTATCCTGATACCAGTGTAGATTATTAACAGAAACTTTCGAAACAGATTTTTCTTCTTTTTTGAGATTATTTTAAAAAAAAAAATCTTTCTTTGGGAGATACTTATGCATTTTTTTCTCTTGTCCATTTAATAGTTTTCACTGCTTTGTTTCCACTTGAGTGGCCGCTTCTTGCAGAATCCCCTCTAAAGACAGTGCCTACATCTGTGATTTCAGAGCTGACTGCACTCTCTGTGAAGGATCCACTAAGTAAGTGGACAATTGCCAAATGAAGGTGATAATGTGCTTGTTCATTGAAACGGTGCTGTGGTAGTTCCTGCTGTGAGGAAGGAGAGAATAAACAGCACACAGAGTCGGTCTACAGAACCGCGAGTCCCAGTCTTTAGCAAGCCACTCCCTCCAACAAAGCTCAGCATTCTACAAGTTCCTGACTTTCTCAAGTGCCATCATCTCAGGGTCAAGTGTTCAACCACATGAGCTTATAGGAGATGTTCCTCTCACCTCACTTCCTCTCTGCCCTCCACCCCTGAAATTACACCTCCAATAGGGAAAAAGAAAATCTTGTTGTGGAAGCTGTAGTGGGACAGAGTGTGACCTACAGTACGCCCTTTTGTTCACACATCTTTGCTTGCCAGGGTTCATGGCAATGACTCACTGATGTGGTACAAGGTCTCTGGCTTCTTCTACTCTGTCAACACTGGAACCTTACCAAGACTCCTCTTGGATATCCTGTAGCTGCCCTTTGTCACAGAGATCCTGTAGTTTTAGATCTGTATGGCTGGTCCCCTCAAGTACTCCAGCAGTTCATCAATGGGTAGATGTTGGGGTGGGCCAATTCTAAGCCCTGGATCTGGGCCTGAGAGGTATCTGAGTTGGTCAGCCCTCTAGTTCTCCCACTTTCATGCCTTCAGGGCTGGCTTACCTGCAATCCCTGCACCTCATGCCCTTGGGGTCAGCTCACCCTCAGCTCCCACATTCATGGTGAAATCTACTCCCACATTCAGGTGAGGTGCAGGTCCTGCTCTCCTGATCTTTCTGCAGCTCGTGAGAATTTTCCAGGGCCAGCTCTCTTGCTCTCATGAACCCAGGGCCAGGTACCCTGCCTGCCACAGGTGGTGACTGGGTGAAGGGGGGAGGAGTGTATTTCTCCCTTGTCCACACTACCTCATGGGAGATGGGAGATGAATGGTAGGGCTAGCTCTTCAGTGCTGCCATCCTTGGGCCCAGCTCACCAGCAACTCCTGCAATGTGAAGGGTCCAGGTCTTCTGAGTACTGTATCGGGCTAGGGGCAAGGTCAGCTCTCTTGCTGTCATGACTCCAGGGTCAGCTCTCCCATGATGCCCAGGTAGGAGGTGGGCCCAGTTCTATAAAGTCCTCAGACATAAAAATGCCTCCAGGCAGCAACCCAGACCAAGAGTGCCTGCCTGACCTTTGGCTGTAACAGACCCCTGCTGTTGCAGGCTCATGGACCCAGATGTAGCCACGCGGTGGCAGCACAGGCTGGGTCACCATCGTGGTCCCAGGTAGCATCAGGATGACTCAAGTCAGCTTGTTTCTCGCTATCAGGTTGTTCCTCCCTACCCTCGATTCTCTAGTTCTGCCTTTCTTGATTGTGCCCATATCCTTTTGTTTCTCTTTCTCTTCTATTTCTCCACTACTTACTTGCTCCTCTTAGTGCTGTTGCCTGGGATTTCTGAGGGTTTGGATTTGTCTCAGGAATGCTATGCCCTGCTCATGCATTATGGTGTCGGGCAAGAGTCATCTCAAGTATGGTCTGCTCCCCAGGCCTCTAAGACACCATATTGACGGTCATCTCAGGCTGGTTCCCTGCCTGGGCCCTATGGCACCATGCTCGTGGTGTCATCTCAGGTTTTCTCCTTGCCTTCCCTGCCCAAGTGGCCCCTTGAAAGGGTAATCTGTTTCGGGCTCGCTCTCTCCCAGGGTCTGTCGTCCCAGGTGGAGTTCTCCTCAGCTTGTTTCCTGTCCTGAGGTCTCATCCAGGACTGCCTGCCACTGGACTGGTGGTCACCTCAGGCTCACTTTATTCAGGTAATGTTAGGCTACTAATCATGCAAATATTCCGAGATCAGAACACTGAGCATAAACACAGCCTTTCTCCTCTCTACCACCTGCTGGTGCACGCTGGAAACATCAGCCAAACTGCAATGCCTCTAGGAGCAGGGACACCTTACGTCCTAATTGATCTTCTATTGCTGTGATAAAACACTAAAACCAAGACAATTATAAAATGAAGTGTTTAATTTGGGGCTTATGGTTTCAGAGGGTTAGAGTCCATGATGGCAGAGCAAAAACAAGTAGGAGGCAGAGGGAGGGACACATCTCCCGCAACAAAGCCACATTTCTTAATCTTTTCCAAATAGTTCCACCATTTGACAACCAAGTAGTCAGAGAAACCCATGAGCCTATGAAGGTCATTCTCATTCAAACCGACACACCTTGTTTAGTGTTTACTGTTGAATCACTGACTGTGAAATAACAGAAATCAAACTCACCTAAACAAAATGCAAATAATACACAGATTTTTTTTTTCAGTGAGGAACAACACTTCATGTTTGGAAATGCTAAATACCTAGGGTTTAGCATTGTGTTTGAGGTTGTTTTACATTTCTAAATCACCAAGAAAACCTGTTAAGTCAAACGCATAGCACTAAGTCATGAGAGAACACCTGTTTACAGAATGAGACTTGAAGGAGGAGCACAGAGCCTCTGTTCAGCAGGGAATGTGGGTGTCAGTGACCCCTACATCTCACTACTTTCCAAGTCCTAAGTACATGTCTGCAAACAATCTCTAAAACCCTAAATACACCATTACATTGAACAAAGCATAGTGGTCCACAAACATAAATCTGCAAAAATGAGGGCTGGCTTTGTTACAGATTTTCTGTGAGAATTAATGAGTTATTGTATAGAATATTAGAGCATCTTCTGAACATGGTACTAGTGACCACTCAGGGTGCTGACTAAGGAGGGAAATATGTCAAGCTTACCAGATGCAAAATCCTTCCTGGTGAGTGTTTAGAAAACAGAATTTCTGCACAGCCTTGGAAGAGGTCATCACCTCTTCTGTCTCAGAGGAGATGGCTATTTTTTGCAGAGGGTTGGGTCAGTTCACCTTTGATTCATTTTTGTGTGTTTGCTTGCTTGCTTGCTTGCTTGCTTGCTTGCTTGCTTGCTTGCTTGCTTGTAGCGGCAGAGGCCCATATAGACCAGGCTGGCTCAGAACTCATTCCTTTCTTGAAGATAACTTTTATCTCCTGTTCTTCTGCCTCTACCTTCTAGTTTCCAGGCTTATAAGCCTGTGCCATAAAACACAGATTTAGTTGACATTTGAACCACAGTTCTAGCCCACTAGAATATTCTATGCTTTCTAACTCCGAAGATATTCAGAAATTATGACATTGTAGTGTGACAATTTTTCTTTGAAAATAAAAAAATTTCATTATTAAGTAGTAACTTTTTAAATTTGCTTCTGACTTCAGTTTCCCTCTAGACCTTACTAACCCTACACAGAATACACCAATAACATTAATTTTATGCACCAGTGAGCTACACCTTCAAACACTAATTACCCACCCCCAAGAAATGCAATGTTTCAGGATATATTCATTCATTTGAACTTTTCTTAGCTTTTAAACACCAAAAATTATTAAATGATGGGTCCCTCAAGTAGTCACCCTATGAATAGAGACATTTTTAAATGTACTTAGATGGATGTCAGGTGGGCTGAGTGCACTCAAATGGAGCTGCATCAAATACTTCCCACTGCTGCCACCTGGACCCTGGGGTATAGTTTTTACACCAGCTCAGAGCAAAGGGTTATCTAGTTTTCACAAAAGGTGTGCGTAGGTCGGTAATGTCAGTTCTCACAAATGGAAGGAATTGCAGTTACTAGTTTTTGCACACTGATGAATTGTCCAGCCGTAAACACTTGAATTGCACCAGAGGAAGAAGAATTTTTCAACCTTGGGTCTGGTCTATACATCACAAAGCTTTGCCAACTTCCCATAGATTTTAGGCCTGGGTCTTTGTCATAGTTGTAGCTATGTCTACAATATACATTCGCTCAGAACTTAACTCACTCAGAGCTTCCTCCACTCCCTACACTGTTCCTTCCACTAAAAAACCACTAACTAATTCTTTTAGTTAGTTTTATGAAAATACGTATGTTTTAAAATAAATTCAGGATATGGTTGCTCAACGATAGATAAACCTATAAATTTGTTAAACTCTGTTTCTTTATTGTAATAAATTATACCCAAGAATTTAAACAAGGAAATAAGTCTTTCCATCATGTTTACCATTTTATATTCAGAATTTTAGTTTTCTGTTTACTCTCACCAGACAATCATAATATATTTTCCAAACTCTACTTACTATACACATTATAACACTCCTTTAATTCATTGTTGTGATCTTTTATTTTTACATTTCTAATACTTTCCACAGCACATAATATAACCATATCTCTTCCCCCAACTCCCCGCCTTTTAAAGCCAATTTGTTGGCACTTTCTAGCTCTTTTCTAAAACTTCAAGCTACCAGCACTGTTGTTTTACCAGAACTATCCGGAAGAATTTATCTCTAACTCTTGTTTCTTTTATTAAATAGTTAGAAATCATTTCATCCTTTCAGTTTTCTTGCTTTGCTTTTTCTTTAAAATTGTTCATAATGAGAGCATCCTATGGCAAAGCAAGAATTTCTCTTTAAGTTAGAACGATGCTTTAGTCGACAACAGCTTTGCTCTCCAGTGACCCCCTGTGGCTCCACAGGAAAGAGTCCATTCTCTACTATCTATTAATAATCACAGATGTTTGTTTGGGTAATGTGTGTACTCGTGTGTATGTGTTCATATCCGTGTACTAACATGCACCTGCATTTAAGGAAAAGGGAAATGTGCTTTTTTATAATACCTTAACCTTGAAAGTATAGTCATTCAGAAACTGACAGCATTGGAGGTTGAAGAGATGGTTCAGCAGTTAAGATTACTGGCTGAGAACTACTGTTTGTGTCCCAGGATCTGAGTGGTGGCTTATAACCATCTGTAACTCCAGTTTCAGGGGATCCAATGCTCTCTTCTGAACTTCGCAGGCATCCAGTTCATGTTGTGCATACGTGCATACATGAAAAACACAATATCCATAAAACAAAATTGAATTATTTTTTAAAGTCAACAGATTCTTCCTCAAAGCGCAAAATCAAAAGGAAGCATTGTTTCAGTCATAAAAAAATGTCAGAAATTCAGGGTACCTAGTGAGGTGCTTGCAAGTATTCTGTCTGCTGGTAAAAACAAAACAGAACAAATAAAGAAAGCAAAAACAACAAAAAACCAACCAACCAAACTAACAACCAAACAAACCTCAATTGAACTGTGATGGGGAACATGAAGTTAAGACAAAGAAAATCTATCATATTAATGACAAAGAGTAAACTATGTTTTAATGTGGTGAGCTATTATTAGTTAAAAGTAAGCACTGGTTTGGAAATAAAGAGCCTACCAGATATTTCACCGAGTGAGTGTTTGTTGCCAAGCCTGAATGCCTGAATTGAACAATACAGTTTTCGTAAATTGTTATCTTATGTTGGCGCTGGTATGTGTAAACCCCAGCACACCATGCCTGAATGTGCTCAAACACACACATACACACACACACACACACACACACACACACACACACACATAACTAGAGAAAGAGAGATAGAAGAACCAAAGAGACGGAAACAAGCGAATCACTGGGGCTTGCTAGATGCGAACCTAGCTCCGGGTTCAGTGCGAGATCCTACCTCAAGAGAATGATAGAGCAGGACACCTGATGTCCTTCTCTGGACTCTGCGTGTGTACATCTGTCTCTCTCTCTCCTCTCTCTCTCTCTTTCACACACACACACCCCTTCATATTTTGACTGCCGGTTGGTTGTGGATACCATTTCTGATGTGTTAAAATCCAGATGGTAGCCAATAACCATCTGTAACTCCAATTATAGTACTAGGCACATGTTATACACTTACATACATGCAAGCAAAGCAATCATGCACATAAAAAAATAAATAAATATTTAAAACTAAGAATTTTAACATGAACTTTATAAATAATTTGAGAAAAATTAAAAGCTAATGTTTGTCATATTTTTGCCATTTACAGCCCACATACTTTAAAACTGCAAACTTTCATTTCTTCATAAACAAATGTGGGATGTGTCTATAGTGATCTTGTAAGGATGCAATTATTTAACATCACTAGGTCTGAGAACCTAGTCTCGAAAGCCTATCTCTTTGTCTTGATTGAATCCAATGCAATGTTCAGATCTGATTCCCCTGGCATATTTAAATATTAATCTCAATAAATAAAGATAACACCAAACCTAAAAAAAAAAAAATGCAAACTTGTCTCTCCACCATTTCCCCATTGCATTGTCTTGCTGATTTGGCTGTTGGTTTTCTTTTTTACTCTAAGGCTGAGCTCAAACACAAAGGCTGTAGTGGCCTATCACCTAAAGAAAGCCTCTCCATGCAGGGTGACACGTCTGGAAAAAAAAAAAAATGGAGCCATACGCCTCTTTAACCTAGAGGTTAAGAAGAGTGTGGGAGAAGCAGAGATCAGAAAATTTTGCTTCTGTGTAAGATACTGAGGGCCTTCATAAAATCTGTGTTTCATAGCTAAAATATGGTTTCATTACCCTCCTACAAAGGAAATTTCAATGGTGATTACAATTTCTGCACCCAAGCCCCAAACAGCGCCAAGGCTGCCCTATGGGCTCACTGAAGCCATTCACATTCAGTCCATCCTCGGAAAACATAACCGCATTGACCTTAGCTGCTTTCTCTAGCTTGGCACAAGTAAACGGGGCTTGAATTATTGCTCTTTCACAACATAACAATGTGATTGTTATGACCCCTTGTGTCTTGCAAAATACACTAGAGCGGTAATTGTGCGTGTTTCGCGTTCCATGTGTTATAGTTGGCAGGGGTCAGCATTAGCTGAGTGGCCTTTGCCCGGCGCTCAAAGAGGTAACATCTCTTCCCTTGCTCAGCTGATAAAATGTTAAATAGCATCAATGCGGGCCGTGCTTTTGTGACACAGAAAAGACAAAATCATTTTACATGGAGACTTCTGACATTGAAGGAGAGCCGAAACCATAACCTCTCACACTCATTACTAACAAG